CAAATTTTATATGTAGGTTCCCCTTGGTCCTTAGCTGTGCAGGGCAACTTTTGAGACTGATTGTTTAAACAACATGGCCGACAGGCAGCCATCTTGGATTTTGATAGAGAAAGTTTGTTATCGCTATTTCTTAAAAAGTACCAGAGGGATCTTTCTCAAATTTTATATACAGGTTCCCATTGGTCCTTAGCTGTGTAGGGCATTTTTGGAGACTGATCGGATAAACAATATGGCCGACAGGCAGCCATCTTGGATTTTGATAGTGTAGGTTTGTTACAGCTATTTCTCCGGAAGAACCAGAGGGATCTTTCTTAAATTTTATATGTAGGTTCCCCTTGGTCCTAGCTGTGCAGGGCAGTTTTGGAGACTGATCGGATAAACAACATGGCCGATAGGCAGCCATCTTGGATTTTGATAGTGAAAGTTTGTTATCGCTATTTCTCGGGAAGTACGGGAGGGATCTTTCTCAAATTTTAAATGTAGGTTCCCCTTGATCTCTCGTTGTGCATGTTATATTTTGAGACTGATCATAAAAACAAAATGGATTAAAAGAAGAACTAAACAGATCTTTTTCATATTGCAATGATTGATTCTATTTCTTTCACTTAATTTAAGTACTGTACAAATAAATATGTGGAATGACAAACTCACTTTGAAGGTCGGCTTTCATACACATCAGTATTAAGTTTAGATCAAAAGTTACCTCAAGGTGCATTTACTGTTAACATGACTCAATCAAACAGATTAGAGGAAAGAAGAGAAAAGATCGAACTTACAAAGAACTAATGAAGAAGGTACAAAGGCCCTGGTGCTCCACACATTTATACAGATTGATTAGCTGGTGTATTTGTATTAGACCTAATAGTGATGTGTATCTCTCTACAGGTTACTAAAGGCCCTGGTGCTCAACACAGTTATACAGATTGCCTGTGGTAACTGCCACTGTCTTGCGTTAACAGACGGTACGAACTTTTAATCTCCTTTGAATATTTATTTGTTCTCATTTGATTAATTCAGTGATGATTTTTTTCTATAATGGTATTTACTGAAAACATTTGTATTTGTAAGTTGCCAGACTGTGTCACCCATGTCACACTAAGTTCACTTGGCGCAGAGTGCCTGTGAGCTTGACTGTGTTTACAGCATGTTGCACCAAAGGTCAAGGTCACTTACTGCAAGAATATACATCTAGGTGTCACAAGGTCATTTCTCCAGCACATCCATTTTGGTCTGATTTCAATGAAATTTCATACAAAGGTTAAGTTCCAGGGTACATTGAACAATTTAACATTTTAGTACTTTGTACCGAAAATCAAAATTACCATTAATATAACTCTCAATAGAAAAAAATATAACCTCGTCTAGTGCCTTCAATTTTGAGTGGTGGGGTGGCCTAGTGGATAGTGCACTGGCTTTTCACCAAGAAGGCCATAGTTCAATATTCTGATTGAACATGAAAAAAGTACAGGGTCACCTGCCCAACCATTTACCGAATGGGTTAACTGTGAGTATTCTGGTTTCATTACAATTTGAAGCCCCCTGTGTGCTACCATATTAAGTACTTTTGAAGTTTGAACTAGTTCACATTTCAACATTTTACATCAAAGGTCAAGGTAACCATTAATATATAGAAAATCGTGTTATTGCTGTAATACCTTCACTTGTGGTGGCATCTCTATTAAACTAGTTTAATGTATGTATATGTTGGGTATGGCCTACATATCTTGTAGACATTTTGTAGTTGATAACAATGTTAATTTCTTTACAAAGATAATGCATAGATTGCAGTCATTCAAGTTTGAAGGCCACCTACCTGGTAACTGACGAAATGTTACTTAAACTGAAAATGTCTTTTCCTCAGATGGACAGGTGTTTTCCTGGGGTGGCAATAGTCATGGACAATTAGGTCAGGGTGCAAAGTGCAGCGCCTTGGACACACCAAAATCTATCACCTGTCTGAGGGGTATACCCATAGCCAAGGTGGTGGCGGGGGGCTTCCATAGCTTTGTACTCACCATGTCCACTGCTGTTTTTGGATGGGGCAAGAACTGGTAAGGTTGTCTTAAAATTTTGAAATTATCAGTATTTCCCAAAATGTTTCTTGAAATAAAAATTCTGCTTATATTTACGCTTTTATAGCACATGTTAGCAAGAACTTGCATCTCATATTAAATATATGCTTTATATGTGTGCAATTTTGATGATATCACTGAGAAAATTTATAACTAGATAAACTGTTTACAGAATTCAGCCCATTAATAGGCATTATGTTGAAAGAAAAATGTCGCACAATATGGTTATATATTTTCTTTATTTCATATTTCAGTTTTGGGCAGTTAGGACTGAATGATGATTCAGGTTGGTATATTATGGAGTGCTGTTTATCCCTTTGTCTGCGTACATCTGTTTGCTGGTGTAATTGTAGGGTACAATCACAGACCAGCTCTTGAGTACACTCTGAAACTCTCTGCAAGTTGAACATTAAATAAAAAGTGTTCTTTTTATTGCTGGAGTATGGTGAGATTTGATTTTCAGCTATAGGTGCTTGATATTTTATGATGCTATTGGTTCTGTAAAGTACAGTTATTAAGTACAGAAATCGAAATATAATACATATATATAAATTTAATATTTATATATAAACAATATGTACCACATTTGTTGTATTTTATTCACTATTAATAGATCAGTGCCATCCGATGTTATGTAAATCATTACGAGGACAAAAAGTGAAGCACATATGTTGTGGGGAGGAACATACCGCTGTTCTAACACAGGTACTTGTCATCTTCACAAATTCATCACTTCCCTTAAGGAATTTCAGTAATAAACATATGGAAAGGAAAAAGAAATGCAGGGTAAATATTTGTTAATATAATTTAAAGAATGGTATAAGGTGCTTTGTATAAGCTTCTATACGGCTATAAAGAATTAAAGTTCATAAACAAATTACCAAGATTTCATCCAAAGTTGTTAAGGAATTGCAGTTCATAGAAAGATACCCCCAATATTGGAGATTGAAAAATTGATGACACATTAGTATTGGGTATCGTCCCTGTTTCTTTCAGCCATTAAGTTGCCCTGTAATGCAAAGGTGATTTCACACCAGGAGAGCTTCCTTCCCAGACCATATCTGATCCACCCCAAATCTATCTCAATAAAGCATGTGTCAGCAAGCATACCACGCGACTACAGTATACACAATGTCAACATACCACCCACCTACAGTATACACAACGTCAACATACCACGCGACTACAGTATACACAACGTCAACATACCACGCAGCTACAGTATACACAACGTCAACACACCACGCAGCTATAGTATACACAATGTCAACATACCACGCGACTACAGTACACACAATGTCAACATACCACGTGACTACAGTATACACGTCAACATACCACACGACTACAGTATACACAACGTCAACATACCACGCAGCTACAGTATACACAACGTCAACATACCACGCAGCTATAGTATACACAATGTCAACATACCACGCGACTACAGTACACACAATGTCAACATACCACGTGACTACAGTATACACGTCAACATACCACACGACTACAGTATACACAACGTCAACATACCACGCAACTACAGTATACACAGCCTCAACATACCACGTGACTACAGTATAAACAACGTCAGCATACCACGTGACTACAGCATACACAACGTCAGCATACCACGTGGCTACAGTATACACAACCTCAACATACCACGCGCCTACAGTATACTCAACGTCAACATACCACGCGACTACAGTACACACAATGTCAACATACCACGTGACTACAGTACACACAACGTCAGCATACCACGTGACTGCAGTATACACAACCTCAACATACCACACAGCTACAGTTTACACAATGCAACATACCACGCGACTACAGTACACACAATGTCAACATACCACGTGACTACCGTATACACAACGTCAACATACCACGAGACTACAGTATACACAACATCAACATACCACGTGACTACAGTATAAACAACGTCAGCATACCACGTGACTACAGCATACACAACGTCAGCATACCACGTGGCTACAGTATACACAACCTCAACATACCACACACCTACAGTTTACACAATGCAACATACCACGTGACTACAGTATGCACAACGTCAACATACCACGCAACTACAGTATACACAGCCTCAACATACCACGTGACTACAGTATGCACAACGTCAACATACCACGCAACTAAAGTACACCCAACGTCAACATACCACGTGCCTACAGTATACACAACGTCAGCATACCCCGTGACTACAGTATACACAACGTCACCATACCACGCGACTACAGTATACACAATGTCAACATACCATGCACCTACAGTAAGCACAACGTCAACACACCATGTGACTACAGTATACACAACGTCAAGAGACCACGTGACTACAGTATACACAACCTCGACATACCACGCACCTACAGTATACACAACCTCAACATACCACACAGCTACAGTTTACACAATGCAACATACCACGTGACTACAGTATACACAACGTCAACATACCACACGACTTCATTATACACAACGTCAACATACCACGCGACTACAGTATACACAACGTCAACATACCACCAGACTACAGTACACACAATGTCAACATACCACGTGACTACAGTATACACAACGTCAACATACCACGTGACTACAGTATACACAACATCAACATACCACGTGACTACAGTATACACAACGTCAACATACCACACGACTACATTATACACAACGTCAACATACCACGCACCTACAGTATACACAACCTCAACATACCACGCGACTACAGTATACACAACCTCAACATACCACGCGACTACAGTATACACAACCTCAACATACCACGCGACTACAGTACACACAACGTCAACATACCACGCGACTACAGTATACACAACGTCAACATACCACGCGACTACAGTACACACAATGTCAACATACCACGTGACTACAGTATACACAACGTCAACATACCACGCGACTACAGTATACACAACGTCAACATACCACGCGACTTCAGTACATACAACGTCAACATACCACGCACCTACAGTATACACAACGTCAACATACCACGCGACTACAGTATACACAACGTCAACATACCACGTGACTACAGTTTACACAACGTCAACATACCACGCGACTACGGTATACACAACTTCAACCTTCAAGGCGAAAAAGCTTCAACCTGTTGCTTTCTTTGGCCCAGCAATTGTTATGCAATTGTCTGACCCTTCTGAACTAGTAAAAGACAAAGAAATTGGATTGAAATTGCAGAAGGCGATGTGTATCTGTCAAGACTACCAAGTGGCATGACGAGAGGTTTTGCCTAAACTTTCAACAATGTTCTGCACATGATTTTTTCTTTTTAACTTTTCCTCCAAGAGGCGCAGTACTAGTACACTACATGGTTGAGTGACTTTTTACGTTGGATGTAGTGTACACTGACCAGGATAGCCGTCTTGACCGAATTCATTTCTTTAGTGCCATCCTTTGATGATAGAATGCAGTTTTTCTTAACCTGCATTTCTTTTTCCCGTCAGTATATATATTTTTAAACATCATTCACTTTCATTCAAAATTAGAACAAGAAAAATAATAATTATCAATATTTTCAATAAGAAGGTAAAATATCATTAAGGTCATTGGAGTGTATTGATAAACGGAAACAGGAAGTACATCCCTAGTTGAAAATCCAATGACGGGAGACAGTATCACAATTTCAGCATATTCTAATGTTTAATATTAAACTGATGCATATTGTATGTTTATTATTGACAGAACAGTGTGTTCTCTCAATATTAAAGTATTTCAAAGCAATCCAGGCATTAATTCAGGTGTTTTTTTTATCAAGGAGTCACATGTGTCCATTTTTCTGTACTTTAGGAACCCAGCTACCTATTTCACTACTGTGATTTTTTTTCAAGAACGATAACTTTTACCTGCAGTTACTATGTGTAGATGGTTTTATTATAAAATGTCAATTTTTATATCGTGTATAGAGAATTCTTTTTACACAATTTCAGCATTTATTAAATTGATATACATTAATGCAATACTAATATATGTCAGTATTATTTTTATTGACATTATTTTGTAAAAATATTGTCTTTCATTTTTTTTTTTTCAAAATTCACTCCTTTTTACATAAATTTCCATTTAAAATCCTTAAAATTCTGACAACCTATATTTTCTTTGTGGCAGAAAATTTTCTTTATTTTAAAACAATATAACTACAAAATTTGAAGAAATTCTACTGAGAAATGGTGACACAATCCTATTACCTTAATACAACAAATCCAATGAAATACCATGAAATAAAATAGGACATAAAAATGCAATTAAATTAACTAGCTTTTGTCATTCACAAGATTCATTCAAAATAGATTTGGTTCCTTCAGGGAAAATAAGTTTATATGGAAACATTTCCAATCCTAACGTGTAGGATAACCATCTTGAATGCTGAATTCTTAATTTTAGATAAAGAAAAATATAAGTAATTTAGAAAAAATAAATAATTCATAACTTGTGATGTGTAATAGATAATTACTCTGTTAAACTAACACTCAATTCATTGTGATATTCTACCTACCAATAGGAAGGTGGTGTGTTTACCTTTGGTGCTGGTGGATATGGACAGCTTGGTCACAACTCCACTGACAATGAAATCCTTCCAAAGAAAGTAGTGGAGCTCATGGGCAGTAAAGTTACACAGATCGCCTGTGGCAGGTACATATTAATACATAGTCGAAGGAACGGCATTGACATAGCCAAATGTTATTACTGTGCAAAAAGAGATGAATACAGGTATCCTACCTGGATAGATCTGTCCCACCCTGGGAAACTTAAAGTCCCTTGGTCTTAACTACAAAATAGTGGAGATCTCCACTCTTTTACTAAGTCGTGGGTTTGAGGACTTTTGTGGGACTTGCAGCAAATCTATGGTTTTTCTCTGGGTTCTCTGATTTTCCTCCATCATCAATACCTAGCTCATTCTTGAATGACCATATCTAATAATGGGGTATGATGCACAAACAAACCAAACTCCACCCTTTAACCTTATACCTCATATACATCTGCTGAGTATGAGAGGACAGCTTCAGAGCTAGGGTCCATTCCTCTCCTGAAGACTTAGTCCCTTGTTAAAATTTTGAAATGATTGAGATTCCCACCCCATATCAATGTATTCAATAACAAGAATAATTGGATTTTGGGTCTGTCCTGTCCTAGCATAGGAGCACTTGAGATCATCCCTACCACAACACAGTGTAAGTACAATTGCTGAGCATATAATTTGGGATATACAGAATACATGATACCAAAATTGCCCCCCGAGTGCGGCCCAAACCTTGGATTTTAGTCACTGGGTCATAACACGGAAATGGATAAAATTTCCACCCTTATACAATTACTTGGCATGAAAAGAGGAATACATATATGCCACCGGGATTGGCCTTGGGGTCTGCCTTACCACTGGGAACACTTTCTTTTGATTGTCACATTGTAACAGTTGAGATACCCACCCAATAACTATAGACATCATTGGTTGGCATGAACAGAGGAATAGAGATATGCCACCAGGATTGGTCTCAGTCTGCCTACACCCTTTGAAACTTAGTCCCCTGGCTCTAACGTCTAGTGGTTTTTATCCTCACCCTATATGAATGCTGAGCATAAATATTTGGATGCAAATGCTTCCAGGATTTGCACTAGTGTCTTATCCAATCCCTGGGAACTTATTTTCAATATTTCTTTTAATAAGAATCTTTGCTGATGATAACCCTCTGGGCCTCTTTTGGTTGGTTAATTTTTCTTCTTCTAGTTTTGTAACTTCTTCAGTGATGCAGCATTTCATATTGTCTGTAATGACTTGATGATCATGTCTTTTCTGTTTTTCTTGATATCATTTTTGTCTCGCCGCCACGAAGTAGTGGAAGGCAGACTAAGTTGTTACTTTTTCGGCAGTGCCAACGTCAACATTAAGTTTTTGCGTTTAAGTTAGTTTCATTGAAAGCATAAGTGCTAGACCAACCAAACTTGGACCATAGATGCACTGATGGTCAAAGTGGGGCACAGGCGAGATATCAATTCCAATGGCTTGTACTCATTTATGAACAATAAAGTTGCAAACAAAACAATCTTTATGCCTTTTGAATAACTGTAATGTGTAATTTCCTCATGTGACATTTCATTCCACATCATTTAAATGAAGATATTCATGAATATTGATGAAATTGTTTGTTACAGACGGCACACATTATCCTATGTACCTAACAGTGGGAGGGTTTATGCCTTTGGCCTGGGAGGGAGTGGACAGCTAGGAGTTGGAGTACCTGGGAATAAAACCACTCCCTTTCTTGTGCAAGGAGCCTTCCTATCAGCCGAGGGAAAATGCTCATCAGATGTGATGGACCACGACCAGCCATTACTTGTCAAGGAATTATATGCTGGTGGTGACCACTGTTTTATAATAGCTGCCTTTCCGTTGGTAACTATTGACATGTCTGAAAGTGTCGATCCCTACTATACATGTTGTTTTATCCTTGTAACAATTCCTGAATATAGAATATAGACCATGTATTAACGGGTTCCTATACATTACCTCAACTTAATTGCATTAAGATGATTAATCCAATTACGATTTTTTTCTTACACCATATGTAAAAAAAATAGTCATTTTTTTGGGGGTTAAATGAGTAATTTACTTAAATAAGTAATTGAGACACTGAGAGCTTCAGAGATTAATGTGTCATGGTGTATATTTATTTTAGAGTGGCGTTAGTCCTGCTGACCAAAGACTACATGACCCGACCACACAGATAGCACGTCTTACTACAGAAATGATAACAAAGATATCAGAACTGGAAGAAGATGAAAAACCTTTAGATTTCTTTGAGTATGTTTCTTTATACTGTAAAAGTGGAAATGTTCTCGTTGTGGAAATGTTCTCAGGAAATGTTTTCATTGTGGAAATGTTCTCATTGTGGAAATGTTCTTGTTGTGGAAATGTTCTCATTGTGGAAATGTTCTCATTGTGGAAATGTTCTCAGGAAATGTTCTCATTGTGGAAATGTTCTCATTGTGGAAATGTTCTCATTGTGGAAATGTTCTCGTTGTGGAAATGTTCTCGTTGTGGAAATGATCTCATTGTGGAAATGTTCTCGTTTTGGAAATGTTCTCATTGTGGAAATGTTCTCTTTTTGGAAATGTTCTCATTGCGGAAATGTTCTCGTTGCGGAAATGTTCTCATTGTGGAAATGTTCTCATTGTGGAAATGTTCTCGTTGTGGAAATGTTCTCGTTGTGGAAATGTTCTCATTGTGGAAATGTTCTCGTTGTGGAAATGTTCTCATTGTGGAAATGTTCTCATTGTGGAAATGTTCTCATTGTGGAAATGTTCTCATTGTGGAAATGTTCTCATTGTGGAAATGTTCTCATTGTGGAAATGTTCTCATTGTGGAAATGTTCTCATTGTGGAAATGTTCTCATTGTGGAAATGTTCTCATTGTGGAAATGTTCTCATTGTGGAAATGTTCTCATTGTGGAAATGTTCTCATTGTGGAAATGTTCTCATTGTGGAAATGTTCTCATTGTGGAAATGTTCTCATTGTGGAAATGTTCTCATTGTGGAAATGTTCTCGTTGTGGAAATGTTCTCATTGTGGAAATGTTCTCGTTGTGGAAATGTTCTCATTGTGGAAATGTTCTCATTGTGGAAATGTTCTCATTGTGGAAATGTTCTCATTGTGGAAATGTTCTCATTGTGGAAATGTTCTCATTGTGGAAATGTTCTCATTGTGGAAATGTTCTCATTGTGGAAATGTTCTCATTGTGGAAATGTTCTCATTGTGGAAATGTTCTCATTGTGGAAATGTTCTCATTGTGGAAATGTTCTCATTGTGGAAATGTTCTCATTGTGGAAATGTTCTCATTGTGGAAATGTTCTCATTGTGGAAATGTTCTCATTGTGGAAATGTTCTCGTTGTGGAAATGTTCTCATTGTGGAAATGTTCTCGTTGTGGAAATGTTCTCATTGTGGAAATGTTCTCATTGTGGAAATGTTCTCATTGTGGAAATGTTCTCATTGTGGAAATGTTCTCATTGTGGAAATGTTCTCATTGTGGAAATGTTCTCATTGTGGAAATGTTCTCTTTGTGGAAATGTTCTCTTTTTGGAAATGTTCTCATTGTGAAAATGTTCTCGTTGTGGAAATGTTCTCGTTTTGGAAATGTTCTCATTGTGGAAATGTTCTCGTTGTGGAAATGTTCTCATTGTGGAAATGTTCTCATTGTGGAAATGTTCTCATTGTGGAAATGTTCTCATTGTGGAAATGTTCTCATTGTGGAAATGTTCTCATTGTGGAAATGTTCTCATTGTGGAAATGTTCTCATTGTGGAAATGTTCTCATTGTGGAAATGTTCTCATTGTGGAAATGTTCTCATTGTGGAAATGTTCTCATTGTGGAAATGTTCTCATTGTGGAAATGTTCTCATTGTGGAAATGTTCTCATTGTGGAAATGTTCTCATTGTGGAAATGTTCTCATTGTGGAAATGTTCTCATTGTGGAAATGTTCTCATTGTGGAAATGTTCTCATTGTGGAAATGTTCTCATTGTGGAAATGTTCTCATTGTGGAAATGTTCTCATTGTGGAAATGTTCTCATTGTGGAAATGTTCTCATTGTGGAAATGTTCTCATTGTGGAAATGTTCTCATTGTGGAAATGTTCTCATTGTGGAAATGTTCTCATTGTGGAAATGTTCTCATTGTGGAAATGTTCTCATTGTGGAAATGTTCTCGTTGTGGAAATGTTCTCATTGTGGAAATGTTCTCATTGTGGAAATGTTCTCATTGTGGAAATGTTCTCATTGTGGAAATGTTCTCGTTGTGGAAATGTTCTCATTGTGGAAATGTTCTCATTGTGGAAATGTTCTCATTGTGGAAATGTTCTCATTGTGGAAATGTTCTCGTTGTGGAAATGTTCTCATTGTGGAAATGTTCTCGTTGTGGAAATGTTCTCATTGTGGAAATGTTCTCAATCTTTGCTATGAGTAAATTAGTGAGAAAATATCCACATGCAAATACATATATATTCTTTTCAGCTCACCTGGTCCAAACGACCATGGTGAGCTTATGCCATACAGCAGTGTCCGTCGTCCGTCAGTCAACTTTTCCTTTAAAATGCTACTAGTCCTGAACGGCCAAGTAGATTTTGACTAAATTTGACTCAATTTGACTCAATTTGACTCAATTTTGTATAAATGGTGGGTCTGGTCCCCCAGGGGCCTGAGGGGCAGGGCCCAATAGGGGAAATATAGCAAATTCTTTAAAATTCTCCTTCTTCTGTAGGAATGAAAGGATTTGGTCCATATTTGGTGTGGAGCATCCTTGGGTTAAGGAGAACCAATTTTTTATAAATGGTGGGTCTTGCCCCCCCCCCCCCCTGGGGGCTGAGGAGCAGGGCCCAATAGGGGAAATATAGCAAATTCTTTAAAATCCTCCTTCTTCTGTAGGAATGAAAGGATTTGGTCCATTTTTGGTCTGAAGCATTCTTGGGTGAAGGGGAACCAATTTTGTATAAACCGTGGGTCTGGCCCCCAAGGAGCCTGAGGGGCAGGGCCCTATAGAGGAAACAGCAAATTATTGTTTAAAATCCTTCCTCTTCTGTAGGAATGAAAGGATTTGGTCCATATTTGGTGTGGAGCATCCTTGGGTTAAGGAGAACCAATTTTGTATAAATGGTGGGTCTTGCCCCCCCCCCCCCCTGGGGGCTGAGGAGCAGGGCCCAATAGGGGAAATATAGCAAATTCTTTAAAATCCTTCTTCTTCTGTAGGATTGAAAGGATTTGTTCCATATTTAGTCAGAAGCATCCTTGGGTGAAGGGAAACCAATTTTGTATAAACCGTGGGTCTGGCCCCCCAGGGGCTGAGTGGCAGGGCCCAATAGGGGAAACATAGCAAATTATTCTTTTAAATCCTTCTTCTTCTGTAGGAATGAAAGGATTTGGTCCATATTTTGTGTGGAGCATCCTTTGGTAAAGGGGAACCAATTTTGTATAAACAGTGGGTGTGGCCCCCCTTGGACCTGAGGGATGGGGCCCAATAGGGGAAATAGAGGTAAAACCCTTTTGAAATCCTTCTTCTACCATAGGGATTAAGGGAATTCATTCTAATTTAGTCTGAAGCATCCTTGCGCAAAAGGGACTCAATTTCGTATGAACAGCAAGTGTGGCCCCTCTTGGGGCAGAAGGGAGGGGCCCAATGGGGGAAACATAGCAAATTCTTTAAAATCCTCCTTCTTCTGTAGGAATGACAGGAGGATTTTGTCAAAATTTGGTATGAAGCATCCTTTGGTGAAGGGGAACCAATTTTGTATTATCAGTGGGTATGACCCCCCTAGAGGCATAGGGGTGGGGCTCTGTTTGAAGTTTGTTCTCGCTATATCTCAAGGATTGGATGGATCTTTCTGAAATTTCATATGTACTTACAGCACCTACCATTGAGTGTTATATCTTTACTTCATACCAATTATTTTAAACATATTCAGGTGAGCGATACTGGCCCTCTGGGCCTCTTGTTATTAATTAGAAATATAGGATATAATATAGATTTGTGAACCACTGCCAATGCTAAATTATCACACAGAGAGTCACATTGCGAACATTTACACGCGAAAATTCCATTTTTACAGCATGCTAATTTTATATTAATTTTGCTTTATTTTGATTTCAAACAGTTAAATTTGCAATAATGTAAGAAACCATCCCAAAAACATTCCAAGAATCTGCTTAAAAATAGGAGCTCTAAGAGCTGTTTTTCCTGTTCAGCAGGGTTTTCCTGTTCAGCAGGGTTTTCCTGTTCAGCAGGGTTTTCCTGCTCAGCAGGGTGTTCATGCTCAGCAGGGTTTTCCTGCTCAGCAGGGTATTCCTGTTCAGCAGGGTTTTCCTGTTCAGCAGGGTATTCCTGTTCAGCAGGGTTTTCCTGTTCAGCAGGGTTTTCCTGTTCAGCAGGGTTTTCCTGCTCAGCAGGGTGTTCCTGTTCAGCAGGGTTTTCCTGCTCAGCAGGGTGTTCATGCTCAGCAGGGTTTTCCTGTTCAGCAGGGTGTTCATGCTCAGCAGGGTTTTCCTGTTCAGCAGGGTGTTCATGCTCAGCAGGGTTTTCCTGTGTTGGGATTATCTGTAGTGCAATGGTGTGTTAATTGCTTTCACAGTAGAGATCATGACAAATGTCTGACATAACTCATGACTATTGGAACATTTTTTTTACATCAGTGAGATAACGTTTTCACACCCTCCAAATTAATACATTCACAGGGAGTTAATTTCCCTGTCAAACGATCTGGACTTTTATTACGGTACTTATCACTTTATCTTTCTGTCTGATCACAGGTCCCTTTCTGAAACTCAGATTCTGAAAATTTGATAGCTTTTGATATGTACCTGTGTGGTGTGAGGTACTTGTGTGATATTATGTACCTATGTGGTGTTATGTACCTGTGTGGTAATATGTACTTGTGTGGTGTTTTGTACCTGTGTGGTTATATGTACCTGTGATATTACAGTTGTGTGACCGCACAATGCACCAAAAACACTGTGCGCACACCGTGCATACATCGTTCATACATCGTCCGCACATCGTCCACACATGGTGCGCACAACTGTGCAATTTAACAATCGTTCGCCCCGTTGTGCGCTTCTCTCTGCACAACTGTGCGATTTGGTACAATTTGTTGATCAATATTATGGAATGAAAAAATTACGAAAGGCTCGTATGCAATACACATGTATGTAATGTACACTGTATATATTTTACTGTAATTCTCTCATCTCTATAATGAAGATTATGTACAATTTTACAATGCATGTAACACAGTATACAGTGACCATTAGACTGTTAAGAATTGGTTTGGCTCCTCAGTAACAGAACAGGTAAATAACAATTAAATGAGTGACCAGAGTTTTACCTGGCCTTTGTCTGACACATAGAGCTGATATGTGGTACCATATGACCATTATGAAAACACAACTGGACGATTTATATTTGTTATTTGCATTCGCTTTGGTCTATAGCTCCCCTTCACCTGGTTTTCACACCTTGGCGAGTTACGTTAGTGCCCAAGGCGGGGGAAAACTACGGTCCTGGTTCAAAGTGACTATGTTTACCTGCGTTGCCGAGACTGTGTTGTAATTTTACATGTGCCGATTAAGGTCCTTTAAACAACACCGAAAACACCATTTCTAAATTTAAGAAAAGTATAGATAGAAAGATAAGCTTATAGATGTAGCTTGAATATAGAAACATACTAAAAAATCAAGTGTATATGTTTAAACAAGAAACGGTATTTATTGTTAAGGCGTTCCTCAATTTACACCAACAGCAATTGTTATCGCACAATGTTCGTCGATCGTCCGCACAAATGTGCGCAAGCAATGATCGTCCTTTTTTTTAATGTTCGCACTTCGTGCACACATCATGCACACACCGTGTGCACACCGCACATCGTGTAACGTTGTGCGATCCCACAACTGTTTGTACCTGTGTGGTGTTATGTAACTGTGTGGGGATAGGTACCTGTGTGGTATTATGTATATGTGCGGTGTTTTGTACCTGTGTGGTTATATGTACCTGTGATATTGTGTACTTGTGTGGTGTTATGTACCTGTGTGGTATTATGTACCTGTGTGGTATTATGTACCTGTCATAGTATGTACTTATGTGGTGTTATGTACCTGTGTGGGGATAAGTACCTATGTGGTATTATGTATCTATGTGGTGTTATGTACCTGTGTGGTGATATGTACTTGTGTGGTGTTTTGTACCTGTGTGGTTATATGTACCTGTGTGGTGTAATGTACCTATGTGATATTATGTATCTGTGTGATATGTACCTATGTGGTAATATGTACCTGTGATATTAGGTATCTATGTGATGGTATGTACCTGTGTGGTTATATGTACTTGTGTGGTGATATGTACCTCTGTTGTGTTATGTACCTGTGTGATATAATGTACCTATGTGATATTATGTATCTGTATGGTGATATGTACCTGTGCTATTATGTACCTGTGTGATATTATGTACCTGTGTGGTAATATGTATCTGTGTGATGGTATGTACCTGATGGTGTTAGGTACCTGTGTGATGTTATGTACCTGTGTGATGGTATGTACCTGATGATGTTAGGTACATGTGTGGTGTTATATACATGTATGGTGTTATGTACCTGTGTGGTGTTATGTACCTGTGTGATGGTATGTACCTGTGTGGTGATATGTATCTGTGTGATGGTATGTACATGTGTGATGGTATGCACCTGTGTGGTGTTATGTACCTGTGTGATGGTATGCACTTGTGTGGTTATATGTACCTGTGTGTTATTATGTACTTGTGTGGTGATATGTACCTGTGTTGTGTTATGTACCTGTGTGATGGTATGTACCTGTGTGGTGATATGTACCTGTGTGTTATTATGTACTTGTGTGGTGTTATGTACCTGTGTGGTTATATGTACCTGAGTGATGTAATTCACCTGATAGTGTTAGGTACCTGTATGATGTTAAGTACTTGGGTTGGTGATATGAACGTGTGTGGTGTTATGTACCTGTGTGGTGATATGTACCTGTGTGATATAATGTACCTGTGTGTTGTTATGTACTTGTGTGGTGTGAGGTACATGTGTGGTTATATGTACATGTGTGTTGTAATTCACCTGATGGTGTTAGTTACCTGTGTGATGTTAAGTACCTGGGTTGGTGATATGTACCTGTGTGGTGTTATGTACCTATGTGATATTATGTACCTGTGATATTATGTATCTGTGTGATATAATGTACCTGTGTGGTGATATGTACTTGTGTGGTGTGAGGTACATGTGTGGTTATGTGTACCTGTGTGATGTAATTCACCTCATGGTGTTAGTTACCTGTGTGATGTTAAGTACCTGGGTTGGTGATATGTACCTGTGTGGTGTTATGTACCTATGTGATATTATGTACCTGTGATATTATGTATCTGTGTGATATAATGTACCTGTGTGGTGATATGTACTTGTGTGATATAATGTACCTGTGTGGTGTTATGTACCTGTGTGGTGTGAGGTACTTGTGTGATATTATGTATCTGTGTGTTATAATGTACCTGTGTGTTATGTACTTGTGTGGTGTGAGGTACATGTGGGGTTATATGTACCTGTGTGGTGATATGTGCTTGTGTGATATAATGTACCTGTGTGTTGTTATGTACTTGTGTGGTGTGAGTTACATGTGTGGTTATATGTACATGTGTGTTGTAATTCGCCTGATGGTGTTAGTTACCTGTGTGATGTTAAGTACCTGGGTTGGTGATATGTACCTGTGTGGTGTTATGTTCCTATGTGATATTATGTACCTGGGGGATTATGTATCTGTGTGATATAATGTACCTGTGTGGTGTTATGTACCTGTGTGGTGTGAGGTACTTGTGTGATATTATGTACCTTTGTGGTGTGATGTACCTGTGTGATATTATGTACCTATGTGGCGTTATGTACCTGTGTGGTGTGATGTACTTGTGGTGTTAAGTAGATGTGTAAAGAACACTATTTTGCTTTTATTTTCATTTTCTATATCAATGCATATGTTTTAATATTTCATTTTGTTTTTTGATTACAGTGAAGTGGAAAAAGTATTTTCTACAGCATCTTGTTTAAATGCATCATTCCTGTTAGAGTGAGTATATTTAATAGTCCTTACAAGTTCAATCTTTTAAAACTGGTAATACTACAGGAAGATCAATCAGATTATAATCTGCACCATTGCCTCCCCTGATAATACAAACATTCCTGTAACTGCAACAGTAACACATGTGGTGTAACATACACTGTATCTATGTATCTTGTGTAGATACATAACCAATATGGTTATATATATATATCTGGTTTAGAGACTTGATCACTTAAGTTATATAAACCTGAAACTTACGTTACCGGTATAATGCCCAGATCTGACAGGAGTGTTTAAGCTAGACTACAGTGCGGAAGTTTGCCATTGTGTATAGAGACTGGCCACTATAGTAAACCTGCAATACAGTTATGTGATAGACATTGTATAAATTAAATGTTTTAACTCTAACTCTGTTGAATCAGAAATTCATTTTTTAAGGTGATTGTGATTATTATAATGAAATCAGGGAACCTCTTTTTAGCTCATGCCATACCGTGGCGTCCGTCAACAATTTCTTTAAACGACTTCTTCTTCTTAACCACTGATTGGAATTTAACTACATTTGACTGGAAGCATCCCTAGGTGGTGGGGAATCAAAATTGTACAAATGGTGGGGCTGACCCCCTAGGGGGCTGAGGGGCGGGGCGGGGCAAAAAGGGGGCAATTTGGCTAGATTGCTATAAACGACTTCTTCTGTAGAACTATGCAATGGATATCGATCATATTTGGTCTGAAGCATTCATGGGAGGCAGGGATTCAAAATTGTACAAATGGTTGGGCTGACCCCCCGGGCTAAGGGGTGGGGCCAAAAAAAGTTTATTGCCTGGAAATGGTTGAGATCCCCACCATATAACCACATATACAATTGCTGAGTATAAAGAGAAGAATGCACATTTGCTTCCAGGATGGCCCTAAGGTCTGGCCCCACCCTTGGAAACATAGTCCTTGGGCCTTAACTTTAAAACGGCTGAGATCCGCACCCCAAAACTATATATACAAATGCTGGGCATAAAGAGACGAATGCAGTCACGATATTAGAATAGACCCTGGGGTCTGACCGAACCCCTAGGGACCTAGTTTCTTAGTCACAGCTTGGAAACAGTTGAGANCTTCGTCACAGCTTGGAAACAGTTGAGATCCCCACCCTATAACCATATAGACAATTGCCGATTACAAAGAGATGAATGCACATATGCTTCCAGGATGGCCTTGGGGACTGCCCCACCCTTGTAGACTTAACCCCTGGGTCATAACTTTGAAACGGTTGAAATCCCCACCCCAAAACTATATACAAATGCTGGGCAAAAAGAGACAAATGCAGTCATGATATTAGAATTGACCCCAGGGTTTGCCCCTCCCTTGCAGACTTAACCCCTGGGTCATAACTTTGAAACGGTTGAAATCCCCACCCCAAAACTATATATACAAATGCTGGGCAAATAGAGACAAATGCAGTCATGATATTAGAACTGATCCTGGGGTCTGGCCACAACCGTAGGGACCTAGTTTCTGAGTCACAGCTTGGAAACAGTTGAGATCCCCACCCCATAACCATACATAAAATTGTTGGGCATGAAAAATCGAATACAGATATATATGCTACAAGGATTGGCTTTGGGGTCTGGCATATTCCCTTGGATCTCATTTGGAGAATATTCTGCCATGATTGCTTAGATATCCAGGTGAGCGATACAGGCCCTATGGGCCTCTTGTTATAAAGACTAATGACATGCCTTCATTTTTTGCTTTGCTCAAGTGACCTATTCTAATCCCTTTCCGTTCGTCGGCGTCTGGCGTCCGTCGTGCATACACTTTTTACATTTTCAACTTCTTCTCAAGAACCATTGGATGGATTTTTTTCAAACTTGGTCAGAATCATCCTAGGTAGATGAGGCTACAAAATTGTAAAATTGGGATTCCTACCCCAACTCCTGGGGCGAGGGTGGGGCCCCAATGGGAAAATTAACCAAAATTTCAAAAATCTTCTTCTCCAGACTCAGAGGCACTACAGTCATTTTCTCTGCATGGAAAGAAAGATCATCAGGGGCTTTACTTAAATTGTAAATTTCAGGACCCCCAAATTATCCGTTCTCCCTTGGGGAGGGGGTAAAGTTTACTATAGTTTATATAGGGAAATAACACTTTTGGGTATATAGTTTGACAACTTTTTGTAGGAAATTATTTTTACTTGGTGAGAATTATCCTTGGAGGAAGATGGTTTCAAATTGAAAAATTGAGATTCCTACCCCAACCCATGGGGCCAGGGCGGGGCTCCAAAGGGAAAATTAACCAATATTTTAAAAATCCTCTCCTCCAGACTCAAGAGGTACTACTGTCATTTTCTCTGCATGGAAAGAAAGATTATCAGGGGCTATACTTAAATTGTAAATTTCAGGACCCCCGAGCTATCCATTCCCCCTTGGGGAGGGGGTTAAATTTACTATAGTTTATATAGGGAAATAACACTTTTGGGTATATTTTATCCATTTTCAGCCGAAAAATACTCAAACTTAGTTAGAATCATCTTTGGTGAATGAGGGTATTACATTGTAAAATTGGGATTCCTGCCCCATCCCCAGGGGCTAGGGAGGGGCCCCAAATGGAACATTTACCAATATTTTCAAATTCTTATCCTTTGATGACATGCTAAGTATTGTATTTCACTTAGTTTGCATGCTGATTTCCTCATCACATCTAAACAATAAAATAAAGCTACCATTACCTATGATATAACTCAGGAGGTGACCGCTAAGGCCCTTGGGCCTCTTGTTTAGATATGAGTTCGAAAGATAAGTTTATCTTTTTAATGAATGAGGCATCTCTGTGGTGTTGTATAGCTAGAGTAAATTTGTATGCATAAGGATGCATAAAAAAATATGTATACTCTCTTTCAAACTTTCACTGTCTCCATACGCTAACACTTAGTAAGTCATATTAGCCATCACACACACTAAACTGTATGGCAAAACCACTACGTGTACATGTAGAATATGTGTCAGATATGGGACGTGTTGAGCTACTTGATAATTCTATTTTTTCAATACTTTTCATAGATTAAAGCATTCTTGTCATGGACCCTTTTTATGTTGAGCCAACTTTTCTTTAATCATTTCATTTTTGTCCGAAACAGAAGCCGTAGTTATCGGCAGCATGCGTCATTTTTACAACGTAAACAAATGTTTCTTCCCCTGTTTTCAATAAGTATTCTGATTCTATCTGAAGTCGAAGATTAATTCTTTATAGAGAAACGGTTGTTACATGATCATACATTCTAATTCAACAACATATGAAAACATGAACTGTTGAAATATTACGATTTAAAAAAAAAATGTTACGCGATCCTATTTACTAGAAGTAGGTTCTCCTTCCTCAGTTATTCATCCTGGCCCGTCATTTTGACATTTTTAATCTATAGCTGCGATAATGTAGCTTTCTGACGACGAGAGATTTTTTTTATATATTGCGTCGTTGCGCCAGAGGAAGCTGGGTATTCCTATTAGCACGGAATTATCTAAGTCCGTGATATTAGTACTAATTTAAATCTTGTATGTAAAAACAAACAAAAAATCGTTTAATTCAGCAATATGATTAAATCATACCATTTTACTGAACCCGGTAATATTATAAATTATGTAAATCTAAAAGCGCACGTATCTCATTTGACCCCGATCACGAGTACCGACAGAGACAGAATACGCCGTGGCTATCACAACAGTTAACCCTTGGAGGGCCTCATGACAAAATCAAACTAACCAGTCACATATCCCTTCCTTTTGCATAAACCACTGTATAATTATAGAAACACAAAGTAAACTCTCTCCGATACATGACCATTGACATATTAAACTAAGTTCATCTGTGTTCAAACTCAGACAAAGATACTAGCGAGGTTAATAGTTTTAGATATTTATTCATAACATAAACAGCGCTAGTATTTCTGTCGATTCCATTTCAGCTTAACCGGCTATCCGGAAGCAAACATGCACCGTACTAACTGCTAGGACAGTTATTTTCTCCTTTGAATACTTCCCACCTGTAATAATGATTCCGTAACGTACTCAGTGCGCTATCTTTTGACCATTTGGCAACTTTTCGCTTCGTAGCTGACACGGTACAACACTTTTCTTTGGCTTACTTCACACGGTCAGTCATTTTGTTTACAAAGAAATGGTGTGAAATGCGCATGCGCTAGAAGAGGGAAATCCCTGAACAAAACGTTGGTCAGACAGGTAGAAATACCGATGATTATCTTAGATTTAATCATTTTTATGAATCTATTTCTGTATATTTGTATTAATATTATGACATATGACAACTCATGTCACTATGGGTGTAATTATGACATGACAACTATATGGTTGTATTGGTGTACAGACCTGAACACTATGATTGTATTGGTTTACAGACCTGAACACTATGGGTGTAGCAGTAAAAACCCTGGATTGGACATGAATCTGGTCAGGAACTCTATGCACAAACTGGGAATGTCCAAAAATACAACTGTGATACAAAAGGTAAACAAAGAAATCTTCATCTCTCTGTAAGCTGATCAGATAATAAACAACTTTTCTGCTCATTGATAAAGTTGTCATTCAACAATTTCTTTAGTCATTGATAAGTCATTATCAAACGTCTTGTCTGTTCATTGATAATGTCAGTATCAAACGTCTTGTCTGTTCATTGATAATGTCAGTATCAAACGTCTTCTCTGTTCATTGATTATGTCATTATCAAACGTCTTGTCTGTTTATTTGACATTATCAAACATCTTGTCTGTTCATTGATAATGTCATTATCAAATGTCTTGTCTGTTCATTGATAATGTCATTATCAAACGTCTTGTCTGTTCATTGATAAGGTCATTATCAAAGGTCTTGTCTGTTCATTGATAATGTCATGATCAAAGGTCTTGTCTGTTCATTGATAATGTCATTATCAAACGTCTTGTCTGTTCATTGATAATGTCAGTATCAAACGTCTTCTCTGTTCATTGATAATGTCATTATCAAACGTCTTGTCTGTTCATTGATAATGTCATTATCAAACGTCTTGTCTGTTCATTGATAATGTCATTATCAAACGTCTTGTCTGTTCATTGATAATGTCATTATCAAACGTCTTGTCTGTTCATTGATAATGTCATTATCAAACGTCTTGTCTGTTCATTGATAATGTCATTATCAAACGTCTTGTCTGTTCATTGATAATGTCATTATCAAACGTCTTGTCTGTTCATTGATAATGTCATTATCAAACGTCTTGTCTGTTCATTGATAATGTCATTATCAAACGTCTTGTCTGTTCATTGATAATGTCATTATCAAACGTCTTGTCTGTTCATTGATAATGTCATTATCAAACGTCTTGTCTGTTCATTGATAATGTCATTATCAAACGTCTTGTCTGTTCATTGATAATGTCATTATCAAACGTCTTGTCTGTTCATTGATAATGTCAGTATCAAACGTCTTCTCTGTTCATTGATAATGTCATCATCAAACGTCTTGTCTGTTCATTGATGATGTCATTATCAAACGTCTTGTCTGTTCATTGATAATGTCAGTATCAAACGTCCTCTCTGTTCATTGATAATGTCATTAACAAACTTCTTGTCTGTTCATTGATAATGTCATTAACAAACTTCTTGTCTGTTCATTGATAATGTCATTATCAAACGTCTTGTCTGTTCATTGATAATGTCAGTATCCAACGTCCTCTCTGTTCATTGATAATGTCATTATCAAACGTCTTCTCTGTTTATTGATAAAGTCATTATCCGATGTCTTTGACCTTGTTAGCGTTGTCCGTCCGTCCATCTGGCGTAAACTTCTAGCTATAACCAGATTATTGTCTTCACTACCTCCGTCCCCCCCTGACGTGGAAGCCCTACGGCTCTACCTTATCTTGGCCGAATTTCACCTGTTTGACCAGCCAAAAAACTATTTGACACTTATCATTCCATTTGGAAGGTGTATAATGAACCTGGAAAAGGCAGGATCTAAAGTTTTAGGTAAGTACACTATCACTGAGCAGTTCATCTTGTCATCTCTGTAACTGTATCCCATAGTAACAGGTCATGGCCGCTTCAACTGTCGTTCTGGATCATTGCTAGCATCATCGTTCAGCTCAGCAGGTCTTTGATGGAGAAACATCAGGCTTAAGTTGACTTATTAAAACTCAGATAAGCTCATTGAAAATAAAATACATTTCCAGGTGAATACCTCTGTCATTTTTGATATTCAAAGCTAGGCATGGATGTAATAGTACTGTTAATATAAAGGCAAGTGATGTATTCCAAACTTGGACTATATTTTGTGTATTTCAAACTTAGGCTTTTTTTTGCATATTTAAAACAAGAACTATTTTAAAAATTGAAATCTTTGAATTGGGTTAATTGTTGATAAAAGCCATTGTTAAATCATGATAAACAACTAAAACCTCTTAGAGAAACTATTATTATTTAACGATAGTGTAGCAACCCATATTTCAAATACTTATAGCTAATTTAGACATGAATGATTTTTGTAGGAAAGAGAATAAGTAATGTTTCTCGATGAATACCTGACAAATTTATTGAAGCAGGATGACTAATGTGATATTTTTCTGGAGTGTGATAACTGTGGAAAGTACTCATCCCATGTGTTATAGAACTAGTATTCAGTAAGGAATCATTTTTTATATTTGAGCAGGACAGACATGTTACTGAATAGACAGAAATGACATTTTCAGAGTCATTGCACCAACAGATTTGATTGACATTACAATGAAATCGCCAGGAGTTTTCCTTTTTTATACGACCGTCAAATTTGACGGTAGTATTATGGTATGGCGTTGTCCGTCCGTCCATCTGGCGTAAACTTTGTTTGTCCGGCAATCTCCTCCTACATTTTTCGACCGATCTCTTTGAAACTTGGTATACATTATAATCATGATATGAAGTTGTGTCTCCCTTAAAAGAATTTTGATTCGACAATTCTTCCAAAAGTTATTGCCCTTTGTTCATTTTAGTATTTGAATTTTGTCCTGAGATTTCCTCCTACATATTTCGACCGATCTCTTTGAAACTTTGTATACATTATAATCATGATATGAAGTTGTGTCTCCCTTAAAAGAATTTTGATTCAATAATATTTGCAAAAGTTTTTGCCCTTTGTTCATTTCAGTATTTGAATTTTGTCCGGAGATCTCCTCCTACATTTTTCGACCGATCTCTTTGAAACTTGGTATACATTATAATCATGATATGAAGTTGTGTCTCGCTTAAAATTTTTTTGATTCAACAATTTTTTCAAAAGTTATTGCCCTTTGTTCATTTCAGTATTTGATTTTTGTCTGGCAATCTCCTACATTTTTCGACCGATCTCTTTGAAACTTGGTATACATTATAATCATGATATGAAGTTGTGTCTTCCTTAAAAGAATTTTGATTCGACGATTTTTTCAAAATTTATTGCCTTTTGTTCATTTCAGTATTTGATTTTTTGTCTGAAGATTTTCTCCTACATTTTTTATAGCATATCAGTTAACCACTCTTAGAATGATGCAGATCTTATTTCAATGTAAGAAAGTATATAACACTATGGCATTCGACGGGTGCATTTTGTTCCGCCCCGCGGTACTCTTGTTGTATTTAGGTAGTGAATTTTTTAAATATCTCTTGTTGGTCAGTTTACCATAAAAAAGAATTCTATAACTCTAGAAAATATAGAAATAGCAACATTGATTTAGTATAACACTGATAAGTAGTTAATCTGTTGTTTTTATATATTTCCAGATATATGGTGGTCAAAATTAAAGAATTCATTTTTCAGCAAGATTGTATATGTAAGTATAAGAGGAAATGTAGGTATACAATTCTTCTTCATATGTTCCTTGTGCTTTTTAGCTCACCTGGTCCGAAGGACCATGGTGAGCTTATGCCATACCGCAGCGTCCGTCGTCCGTCCGTCGTCCGTCCGTCAACTTTTCCTTTAAAACGCTACTAGTCCTGAACAGCCAAATAGATTTTTACTAAATTTGGCCTGGAGCATCCTTAGGCCAAGGGGACTCAATTTTGTATAAACGGTGGGTGTGGCCCCCCTGGGGGCAGAGGGGCGGGGCCCAATAGGGGAAATAGAGGTTAAACCTTTAAAATCCTTCTACTTCTGTAGGAATGAAAGGATTTGTTCCATATTTGGTCAGAAGCATCCTTGGGGGAAGGGGATTTCTTTTTGTATAAATGGTGGATCTGGCCCTCCTGGGGGCTGAGGGGCGGGGCCCAATAGGGGAAATATAGCAGACCAACAGTTATACAAAATTGGATCCCCTTCAGTCTCTGGAGCATTTTTGGGCAAAAGGGACTCCATTTTGTATAAACAGCGAGTGTGGCCCCTCTTGGGGCAGAAGGGAGGGGCCCAATAGGAGAAATAGAGGTAAAACCTTTAAAATCCTTTTTCGACCATTGGGATTAAGGGATTTTATCCTTATTTAGTCTGGAGCATCCTTGGGCCAAGGGGACTCAATTTTGTATAATTGGTGGGTATTACCCCCCTAGGGGCATAGGGGTGGGGCTCTGTTTGAAATTTGTTGATGCTATATCTCAAGTACTGGATGGATCTTTCTGAAATTTCATATGGACTTGCAGCACCTACCATGGAGTGCTATATTTTTACTTCATACCAATTATTTTAAACATATTCAGGTGAGCGATACAGGCCCTCTGGGCCTCTTGTTCTCATTTGTGAGTATTTGACCTATGGTGTAACAAACGCGATATCAACTGGTTCATTTACAACGTTTGAGTAGATCAATATTTTCTATATAGCTAGGTGCGTAGTGTTAGTGTATGTTATACAGATTTCGTTTCTTTGTAGATTTACAAGCAAGTTGTGATATATGTACTGAACTTAAAGACAACTACTTCAGAAAATGAGGTAATTATTATACACTCATCTTTAAAAAAGATATTTTGATACATGTACATTTTTATGATTAAATATAAAAGATCTTTTGTCTAGTAAAAAACATGAATATTTTGAATATCATACTACATATATCTATGTAATGTCAGGACCCCAGCTTCAAGCTCAGCGTGTGTGTGTGTAATGTCAGGACCGTGGCTTCAAGCTCTGGGTTTGTGTCTGTAATGTCAGGACCCAGGCTTCAAGCTCTTGGTGTGTCTGTGTAATGTCAGGACCCAGGCTTCAAGCTCTGGGTGTGTCTGTATTGCCAGGACCCAGGCTTCAAGCTCTTGGTGTGTCTGTAATGTCAGGACCCAGGCTTCAAGCTCTTGGTGTCTGTAATGTCAGGACCCAGGCTTCAAGCTCTGGGTGTGTCTGCAATGTCAGGACCCTGGCTTCAAGCTCTTGGTGTGTCTGTGTAATGACAGGACACAGGCTTCAAGTTCTAGATGTGTCTGTAATGCCAGGACCAAAGCTTCAAGCTCTGGATGTTTCTGTGTAATGTCAGGACCCAGGCTTCAAGCTCTGGGTGTGTCTGTGTAATATCAGGACCCAGGCTTCAAGCTCTTGGTGTGTCTGTGTAATGACAGGACACAGGCTTCAAGCTCTGGGTGTGTCTGTATTGCCAGGACCGTGTCTTCAAGCTCTGGGTGTGTCTGTAATGTCAGGACCCAGGCTTCAGGCTCAGGGTGTGTCTGTGTAATACCAGGACCGTGGCCTCAAGCTCTGGGTTTGTGTCTGTAATGTCAGGACCCAGACTTCAAGCTCTGGGTGTGTCTGTAATGTCAGGACCCAGGCTTCAAGCTCTTGGTGTGTCTGTGTAATGTCAGGACCCAGGCTTAAAGCTCTGGGTGTGTCTGTAATGCCAGGACCCAGGCTTCAAGCTCTGGGTGTGTCTGTAATGTCAGGACCCAGGCTTCAGGCTCAGGGTGTGTCTGGAATGCCAGGACGCAGACTTCATGCTCTGTGTGTGTAATGCCAGGACCCAGACTTCAGGCTCAGGGTGTGTCTGTGTCATGCCAGGACCCAGGCTTCGGGCTCAGGGTGTGTCTGTGTCATGCCAGGACCCAGGCTTCAGGCTCAGTGTGTGTCTGTAGTGCCAGGACCCAGGCTTCAAGCTCTGTGTGTGTCTGTAATGTCAGGACCCAGACTTCAAGCTCTGGGTGTGTCTGTAACGTCAGGACCCAGGCTTCAAGCTCTTTGTGTGTCTGTGTAATGCCAGGACCAAAGCTTCAAGCTCTTAGTGTGTCTGTGTAATGTCAGTACCCTGGCTTCAAGCTCTGGGTGTGTCTGTAATGCCAGGACCCAGGCTTCAGGCTCAGGGTGTGTCTGTAGTGCCAGGACCCAGACTTCAAGCTCTGTGTGTGTGTAATGCCAGGACCCAGGCTTCAGGCTCAGGGTGTGTCTGTGTCATGCCAGGACCCAGGCTTCAGGCTCAGGGTGTGTCTGTAATGCCAGGACGCAGACTTCATGCTCTGTGTGTGTAATGCCAGGACCCAGACTTCAAGCTCTGGGTGTGTCTGTAATGACTGGACCCTGGCTTCAAGGTCTGGGTGTATCTGTGTAATGACAGGACCCAGGCTTCAAGCTATGGGTGTATCTGTTATGTCAGTACCCTGGCTTCAAGCTCTGGGTGTGTCTGTTTAATTTCAGGACCCAGGCTTCGAGCTCTGGGTGTGTCTGTAATGACAAGACCCAGGCTTCAAGCTCTGGGTGGATCTGTGTAATGACAGGGCCCGGGCTTCAAGCACAGTGTGTGTCTGTGTAATGTCAGGACCCAGGCTTCAAGCTCTTGGTGTGTCTGTAATGTCAGGACCCAGGCTTCAAGCTCTGGGTGTATCTGTGTAATGACAGGACACAGGCTTCAAGCTCTGGGTGTGTCTGTAATGACTGGCCCCTGGCTTCAAGGTCTGGGTGTATCTGTTTAATGACAGGACCCAGGCTTCAAGCTATGGGTGTATCTGTTATGTCAGTTGCCTGGCATCAAGCGCTGGGTGTGTTTGTTTAATGTCAGGACCCAGGCTTCAAGCTCTGGGTGTATCTGTAATGTCAGGAGACAGACTACAAGCTCTGGGTGTGTCTGTAATGACAGGACCGAGGCCTCAAGCTCTGGGTGTATCTGTGTAATGACAGGACCCAGGCTTCAAGCTAAGGGTGTATCTGTTATGTCAGTACCCTGGCTTCAAGCTCTGGGTGTGTCTGTTTAATGTCAGGACCCAGGCTTCAAGCTCTGGGTGTATCTGTGTAATGACAGGACCCAGGCTTCAAGCTTCAAGCTCTGGGTGTGTCTGTTTAATTTCAGGACCCAGGCTTCAAGCTCTGGGTGTGTCTGTAATGACAAGACCCAGGCTTCAAGCTCTGGGTGTATCTGTGTAATGACAGGGCCCGGGCTTCAAGCACAAGGTGTGTCGGTTATGTCAGGACCTTGGCTTCAAGCTCTGAGTGTATCTGTTAAATGACAGGATCATGGCTTCAAGCTCAGGGTGTGTCTGTGTAATGACAGGACCATGGCTTCAAGCTCAGGGTGTGTCTGTGTAATGTCAGGACCCAGGCGTCAAGCTCTGGGTGTGTCTGTAATATCAGGAACCAGGCTTTAAGCTCTGGATGTTTCTGTGTAATGCCAGGACCCAGGCTTCAAGCTTATGGTGTGTCTGTGTAATGTCAGGACCCAGGCTTAGATTTCAGGGTGTGTCTGTGCATTGCCAGGACCCAGGCTTCAAGCTCATGGTGTGTCTGTAATTTCAGGACCCAGACTAGAAGCTCAGGGTGTGTTAATATCGTGTATCTATAATTTATTTCTGGGATTTTAAATAAAAAAATGCTTCTTTTTCTGGCTAGCAGACCAACATTGCAGTATTAAAGGTAGCATTGGAGGTCTTAAAGAAGCTGAATGTGGTGAATGAACAGCATGGTCAGCTCATCGCCTACCACCAGTTTTACGTGTCGGAGCTACGGGAACGTGTCGACATCGAGAGGGATTACCTCAGCTGGTTGTATCAACCCAGACTTGGAATGTTCCCAATGGTTTGTATCGTTTGTGAGACAGCAGTGTTAGTCCACTATAAAGGAGCAGGTATAATTAGCTACATGTAGGAAGTCGGCTCAAACAAAGTCCAGTAAGAGGAAGATTTTAAATGCTTATTCAAAGTAATGATAACACATTATTGATTTGATGCCAATCTGAAATATATATTAAGAAAAAACAGATAATGAAGGCTGTGACAGAGAAAACTCCAGATATATCAGAGTCAAATTACATCATTGATCATACAGTAACATAGTGTGTTCATGTCTGGTGCATATTCTTGTACAGAAAAGTCTTTCATAAACAACCACTCTGGGACAGCTTACAACTTTGGTAGAGGATACTACAGGAAGTTATATATGTAAAGCTGTTACCATGTTTGTTATTGTATGTTACTCTGGGACAGCTTACAACTTTGGTAGAGGATACTACAGGAAGTTATATATGTAAAGCTGTTACCATGTTTGTTATTGTATGTTACTGTGGGACAGCTTACAACTTTGGTAGAGGATACTACAGGAAGTTATATATGTAAAGCTGTTACCATGTTTGTTATTGTATGTTACTGTGGGACAGCTTACAACTTTGGTAGAGGATACTACAGGAAGTTATATATGTAAAGCTGTTACCATGTTTGTTATTGTATGTTACTGTGGGACAGCTTACAACTTTGGTAGAGGATACTACAGGAAGTTATATATGTAAAGCTGTTACCATGTTTGTTATTGTATGTTACTGTGGGACAGCTTACAACTTTGGTAGAGGATACTACAGGAAGTTATATATGTAAAGCTGTTACCATGTTTGTTATTGTATGTTACTGTGGGACAGCTTACAACTTTGGTAGAGGATACTACAGGAAGTTATATATGTAAAGCTGTTACCATGTTTGTTATTGTATGTTACTGTGGGACAGCTTACAACTTTGGTAGAGGATACTACAGGAAGTTATATATGTAAAGCTGTTACCATGTTTGTTATTGTATGTTACTGTGGGACAGCTTACAACTTTGGTAGAGGATACTACAGGAAGTTATATATGTAAAGCTGTTACCATGTTTGTTATTGTATGTTACTGTGGGACAGCTTACAACTTTGGTAGAGGATACTACAGGAAGTTATATATGTAAAGCTGTTACCATGTTTGTTATTGTATGTTACTGTGGGACAGCTTACAACTTTGGTAGAGGATACTACAGGAAGTTATATATGTAAAGCTGTTACCATGTTTGTTATTGTATGTTACTGTGGGACAGCTTACAACTTTGGTAGAGGATACTACAGGAAGTTATATATGTAAAGCTGTTACCATGTTTGTTATTGTATGTTACTGTGGGACAGCTTACAACTTTGGTAGAGGATACTACAGGAAGTTATATATGTAAAGCTGTTACCATGTTTGTTATTGTATGTTACTGTGGGACAGCTTACAACTTTGGTAGAGGATACTACAGGAAGTTATATATGTAAAGCTGTTACCATGTTTGTTATTGTATGTTACTGTGGGACAGCTTACAACTTTGGTAGAGGATACTACAGGAAGTTATATATGTAAAGCTGTTACCATGTTTGTTATTGTATGTTACTGTGGGACAGCTTACAACTTTGGTAGAGGATACTACAGGAAGTTATATATGTAAAGCTGTTACCATGTTTGTTATTGTATGTTACTGTGGGACAGCTTACAACTTTGGTAGAGGATACTACAGGAAGTTATATATGTAAAGCTGTTACCATGTTTGTTATTGTATGTTACTGTGGGACAGCTTACAACTTTGGTAGAGGATACTACAGGAAGTTATATATGTAAAGCTGTTACCATGTTTGTTATTGTATGTTACTGTGGGACAGCTTACAACTTTGGTAGAGGATACTACAGGAAGTTATATATGTAAAGCTGTTACCATGTTTGTTATTGTATGTTACTGTGGGACAGCTTACAACTTTGGTAGAGGATACTACAGGAAGTTATATATGTAAAGCTGTTACCATGTTTGTTATTGTATGTTACTGTGGGACAGCTTACAACTTTGGTAGAGGATACTACAGGAAGTTATATATGTAAAGCTGTTACCATGTTTGTTATTGTATGTTACTGTGGGACAGCTTACAACTTTGGTAGAGGATACTACAGGAAGTTATATATGTAAAGCTGTTACCATGTTTGTTATTGTATGTTACTGTGGGACAGCTTACAACTTTGGTAGAGGATACTACAGGAAGTTATATATGTAAAGCTGTTACCATGTTTGTTATTGTATGTTACTGTGGGACAGCTTACAACTTTGGTAGAGGATACTACAGGAAGTTATATATGTAAAGCTGTTACCATGTTTGTTATTGTATGTTACTGTGGGACAGCTTACAACTTTGGTAGAGGATACTACAGGAAGTTATATATGTAAAGCTGTTACCATGTTTGTTATTGTATGTTACTGTGGGACAGCTTACAACTTTGGTAGAGGATACTACAGGAAGTTATATATGTAAAGCTGTTACCATGTTTGTTATTGTATGTTACTGTGGGACAGCTTACAACTTTGGTAGAGGATACTACAGGAAGTTATATATGTAAAGCTGTTACCATGTTTGTTATTGTATGTTACTGTGGGACAGCTTACAACTTTGGTAGAGGATACTACAGGAAGTTATATATGTAAAGCTGTTACCATGTTTGTTATTGTATGTTACTGTGGGACAGCTTACAACTTTGGTAGAGGATACTACAGGAAGTTATATATGTAAAGCTGTTACCATGTTTGTTATTGTATGTTACTGTGGGACAGCTTACAACTTTGGTAGAGGATACTACAGGAAGTTATATATGTAAAGCTGTTACCATGTTTGTTATTGTATGTTACTGTGGGACAGCTTACAACTTTGGTAGAGGATACTACAGGAAGTTATATATGTAAAGCTGTTACCATGTTTGTTATTGTATGTTACTGTGGGACAGCTTACAACTTTGGTAGAGGATACTACAGGAAGTTATATATGTAAAGCTGTTACCATGTTTGTTATTGTATGTTACTGTGGGACAGCTTACAACTTTGGTAGAGGATACTACAGGAAGTTATATATGTAAAGCTGTTACCATGTTTGTTATTGTATGTTACTGTGGGACAGCTTACAACTTTGGTAGAGGATACTACAGGAAGTTATATATGTAAAGCTGTTACCATGTTTGTTATTGTATGTTACTGTGGGACAGCTTACAACTTTGGTAGAGGATACTACAGGAAGTTATATATGTAAAGCTGTTACCATGTTTGTTATTGTATGTTACTGTGGGACAGCTTACAACTTTGGTAGAGGATACTACAGGAAGTTATATATGTAAAGCTGTTACCATGTTTGTTATTGTATGTTACTGTGGGACAGCTTACAACTTTGGTAGAGGATACTACAGGAAGTTATATATGTAAAGCTGTTACCATGTTTGTTATTGTATGTTACTGTGGGACAGCTTACAACTTTGGTAGAGGATACTACAGGAAGTTATATATGTAAAGCTGTTACCATGTTTGTTATTGTATGTTACTGTGGGACAGCTTACAACTTTGGTAGAGGATACTACAGGAAGTTATATATGTAAAGCTGTTACCATGTTTGTTATTGTATGTTACTGTGGGACAGCTTACAACTTTGGTAGAGGATACTACAGGAAGTTATATATGTAAAGCTGTTACCATGTTTGTTATTGTATGTTACTGTGGGACAGCTTACAACTTTGGTAGAGGATACTACAGGAAGTTATATATGTAAAGCTGTTACCATGTTTGTTATTGTATGTTACTGTGGGACAGCTTACAACTTTGGTAGAGGATACTACAGGAAGTTATATATGTAAAGCTGTTACCATGTTTGTTATTGTATGTTACTGTGGGACAGCTTACAACTTTGGTAGAGGATACTACAGGAAGTTATATATGTAAAGCTGTTACCATGTTTGTTATTGTATGTTACTGTGGGACAGCTTACAACTTTGGTAGAGGATACTACAGGAAGTTATATATGTAAAGCTGTTACCATGTTTGTTATTGTATGTTACTGTGGGACAGCTTACAACTTTGGTAGAGGATACTACAGGAAGTTATATATGTAAAGCTGTTACCATGTTTGTTATTGTATGTTACTGTGGGACAGCTTACAACTTTGGTAGAGGATACTACAGGAAGTTATATATGTAAAGCTGTTACCATGTTTGTTATTGTATGTTACTGTGGGACAGCTTACAACTTTGGTAGAGGATACTACAGGAAGTTATATATGTAAAGCTGTTACCATGTTTGTTATTGTATGTTACTGTGGGACAGCTTACAACTTTGGTAGAGGATACTACAGGAAGTTATATATGTAAAGCTGTTACCATGTTTGTTATTGTATGTTACTCTGGGACAGCTTACAACTTTGGTAGAGGATACTACAGGAAGTTATATATGTAAAGCTGTTACCATGTTTGTTATTGTATGTTTCAGCCCACTCTCTCTTTCTGTAACTATCCATTTGTGTTCGATGGTGCTGCCAAAAGCTTGTTGCTTCAGACTGATGCAAACATGCAAATGAGGGTAAGTGTTATATAGCCATTTGTCAGGAGATCAGAGAACCATCAAAGGGAACACAACAGCTGGTTGGAGGGAGGGGTCTTGAGATGTACACTAAAATCATCAGATATATTTAGGTATTTTGGGTAGAAAGGATAAATAATGAATGATTGACTATTGTGATTTGTCACATTGATTCGGGTGTAAATATTTTCAGATTTAAGTAGATTTCCTGTTTGGCAGTGATGTAGTTTTGAAACTGTAAATATTCCAAATTAGTGATTACCTTGCTATCAAAGATTGCGTGGATCTGGAAAACACCATGGCTTATGTCTCATACACCGATGTACTACAAACATGCATGTAAACTAGTTGCATTTGGTGACACACACATTAAAATAGTGGCACATTAATCTAAGCCTCCCCAAACAACAACTCATCACCAGAGGTTAATTGACCCCAATGACCTTATTTCTGCAAAAACGGCTGTTCTATAATTTGTTCAGACAATTGATGTAAAAAGTATCATGAACATAAAGAAACCCTGATAAAATCAAAGATTTTTTTCTTTTAAACATCAGGATTGAAATGCATATTTTGAACAGTTTTGTGTGTAGAAAATCCTGTTGTTTGCAAACATGTTCTCCAAGATGCACTCCTGCACATCATTGTATATGTTCACATGTGTTTCATCCCATCATATACCAGGTATGTTATTACATGTATATAAAAAATGCACTATGCATTTTAAGGCTTAAATATCGTTTTGGATTTGGAATATTAACTAAATTTGATATGAAGCATCCTTGGGACCAGGGGCTCAATGGATTTATGAAATAAGGGTGTGGCCCGTAGGGGGTTTAGTTAGGGGCCAAAAAGGGGAAAATTTAGAAAAAAAATATAAATCTTCTTCATTTCCAGAAATGCTAAAACCAAATACTACTCATAGTAAAGGCCTTTGTGTGGTTTATAAAAAATTTGATTTTCATGTCTCCTAGCCCCTAGCCCCCCCCCCCCCCC